AAATGATGATGTGTAATGATGATGTAATTGTGACTTGGCATATACAAACACATGTGGATTATGACATGGCAAAAAATATTTCTGTGTTTAATTTATTTTAGTTCAAATAATTGTTTTATGAAAACAGAAAATATTTAATTATTAATATAAATTAGAACAAGAAAGGCAACAACTTTCCTATGAAGAAAATAGACAAAGTAAGAAACAAAATAAAAGTGAAGATCAAGCTTTGTAGAGAATAATTAATATGTGTTACCTCTTGCGATATGATTATTTCAAGTTTGTAATAATGAAAAGATGAAGCATCGTCAGTATGTTACTATTAACATATTGGAGAAAGTAATAGTTACTTTTTGTACAAATCTGAGCTACGATCAGTTTACCAAAAAGAAAATCTTGTAGACTCTATGATCGAAAAGAAACAGAAAAAATGGAAACACTGACCTAACTATTTAACAAACTCTCCCATAGGTTCTTATGTCTTCTACTATTATATACTGAAATGATCAAAATTCCGGTTTATACTGAAATGATCGTACTAGAATCAACATCACTTTCTTGAATATATTGGCCAAAATTTTGAGTGTTGTGGAATATGAAAATACTAATTAATGATTCTTCCAAATCATGATATAAGAGTTGTGAAAAGGCTACAGTAAAAAAATTATATTTTATACACTAGAAAGTCAAACTATATCGAAAGAAAAATATTTTTCGTATTTGAAATAGAAATTTTATTATTTGAACTCATCACATTGTGTATACGCCTATAAATCTTCATCATTATAGTTTTCATAAAAGTAACTAATCTATTTCTTATATAATTCCATACCACACAAAATATTTTTACCCATCAAGCTTTAATAACCCCACACATATGTGCAGGCATAAAAAAATTAGTAAAAATTAATTAATAATAATATATATAATTTATAATAAATAAGTAATTGACTTATTCAGTAATATATTTGTAAAAATTTTTAGTTTGTGAAAAATGACTTAATAGGTTTGAAAAATTGTACATAGCAAAAATAAAAAACATATTTGTAAAATATTTTAAAAAATCTTAAAATAAAATTAAATGATTCTTTGTTTTCTATTTTTTATTCATAATCAACTAGTTTTATAGTTTTTTAATCTCATTTCATCACCTTTCGCCCCGTTCCTGGTTCGTAATTTTCGCTATATAATTGGAATAAATTCACATATAATATAAACTTCTATTCTTTATTTATAGTGAGACAAGATAGGATGAAAATAAAAAAGAATAAATACTCTTTCTAATAATCTGATTCCGCAAATTTCACACAAACACTTCAACTTGTAAATATTTTGATTTTGTGAATATCCCGCGAAAAAGTGAATTCAGAAAAACATTTCGCCAAAAACTTTACATTAAAAATGTGATTCCAAAAACTTCTGTGAAAACCTGATTTTATAAATTTTCTGCCAAAAATATGAAATTATAACTTTCCCACCAAAACATTTATTTTAGAGGATTTTAATTTGATTTCGTGGCCAGATATTTTGAATCATAAGTTTTATGCCAAAAATGTGAATTATATATCAAAAATATGATTTTGTTAAAAACGTTTTCCGTCAACGAATTGAATACATAAATTGTGTGTCAAAAAATTACTTTATAATTGTGATTAAAAAAAATCGTCAATAATTTGACTCGCGTTTTTTTCGCCAGAAATTGTTATTTCAAAAAATTTATATCCAAATTGCGATATCAAAAACTTTAGGCCAAAATAGATTGCCACAAATTTTCTGTCAAATTCTTGAAATCTGTAAATTTTCTGACCAAAGTTTTGTGTCGAAGATGTGATTTTAAATCTATTTGACAAAAATATTATTTCCAAAATTTTCGGTTAAAAACTTGAATACTTAAATTTTGTATCATGTTATATATGGATTAAATAATATAATGTCACAAGCCATGTGTACTAAAAAGTGACATGTCACAATTACATCATCATTACACGTCATTATTTCCACATCACATTTAATTTTTTCAAAGTAAACACATCTGTGCATGTGGCATGTTAACAAGGAAACATACAAGAATTATACAGGTTGGTCCATTTGCTATGTTGTATTAAACTCAAAAAATATTTCTGATTTTTGAGTAATGCTTTATTTCAATCTATAATTTCAAAATATAATATCAAAATGTATATATTTTCAGTTAGACCATATATATAAGTATATAAAAATCAAAAATTGTAGGATGATACAGAATGAGAAACAAGTAGAATTGAGGAATTACCCAGCAAGTAGATTGGGTGAACGATAAAATTGGACCATAATTTGCTACTAAATTTAAGGTCTTATAATTCAACGCTGGATCTGATTTTCATGTACTATAAAAAGTTAAAATATTTGAGATAGGTTTAAATATTATATTTATATATATTATATTTATATAATTACATTTTTAAAATTATTCATACCCGCACATGTGTGCGGGTCAATTTCCTAGTTATAAATAAAAGTAAATAATCATAATTTGATTTAATTAACTCTTTCCAAAAGTAAATTCTCAATCTAGACTCTTTCAAAAATTTAGTATACAATAAATAATATTTGATATTTAATATAATACAATTATGAGCTAATTGAGAATTTATTAATAATTTTAATAAAAATGAAATTTATTGTGTTTGATATATGTTAATAATATAAGTAATTTAATTTATGGCGCATTCACTAATATAATTTAGATATAAGTAATATACTAATTCAATTTTTTTTTAATATATATATATATATTCAAAGATTTTGAGTAGAAACGATAATGACACTTTTGTCTAATAAATCATCAATGTTTAAACTTATTTGGAGTAAAAATAATATATAATATGGATAAACATCAATATTTTTATAAATGCTAATTATAATAAATTTTATTTGTCACATTATTTTTTATATAATCAATCATAGCAAAAACGCATCAAAACTCTAACCATATCACATCTTAAATTTAGTATTCCGCTTTATTATGTATACACTATACTCCTAACTTACTATTTATCATATATTCAATTATGCTTTATTATTATATTTTAGACAATATTTTTTTATTAAAGATTTTTGGAACCAATAATTATTCTTTTCTTTTACAAATCGTAAGAGATAATTTATGGATATAATTATTATTTTTTAAATTAAAAATATAAAAATTGTGACTTTTTTTTTTAATTTATTGGATATAGTAGATAAGTAACAAACTATTTAATTATTATTTAAGAGTCAAAATAATTAAATATATACATAAATATTATACTGAATTTAAATAAATAATAATAATTTCATCCCAGACAGGGTACGGGTTATTACCTAGTTGTATGATATAATTGATGATAGATATTGTGTAGTGTACCATTGTATATACAATATGCAATCCGATCCAAATGTTAAAGATTATGGAACTTGTTACCTTGGACTATGAAAATCAAGCTGCTCTTGCTCTCAAAGTTGTTATTTGCCACTGGAGGAGGGATGATGCCATGTCTTGTGGCATGAGTGTTTGGTGCATCCCCTACGCCAATAACTCTAGCTGGTCTAAGCGGATGGACTGGAGCTCTTCGATTTTCTCTTAAGAGTACCAGCTAAGCCCTAAGGTCCTTGAGTCCTCTGAATTCCTTGTGGTCCTTGTGCACCAACAACAGCTTGTGGGTCATTCATGTTGACCACCCTTGCTATGTTTCTTCTTACAAATCTGTCAATGTTATCCAAAAGTGGCAGGAGATGTTCTGATCCTTGTGATCTCAGGTTCATACACCTGAATAGACAAAGTCAAAGCAAAACCAGAAGTATCAAGATAAATAGTAAACCTAGTCTCACAGAAAATAAAATCTTTATGATCAAACAAATCCAAATAGGCAACATGGCCTAATTCATACAAGGCCTTTTCAGTCTTGTGGCTCAATTCCTCAAGTGATAACCTCGTATTTTACCTTGTTTTAGCATGCATTTTAGTTTAGATTTTGTTTCCTTTCATGCATTCATTCTTCATGTTTTGTTCACTTTTGCACTTATCTTAGACATATTAGGTTTTAAACTAGGCATTGCATAATTTGCATGGTTTAGAATCTTTTCTGGGTCTAAATAGAGCTATGGAGGACACTTGGAGAATGGTGGATGATGTGGACATGAAGAACCAATCATAATGGCCAATATGACGGGTTTTAGGCTGCACCAAAGTCCTGTATCGACCAAAGCTGAGAGAAACCTGCCCGATATGAAATGTATGGTTCCAAACGAAGGTCTTACGGTGCGATTCAGCCTCCAAGTTCTTCATCTACGTTGTAGAGGATCGCATAAGCTTTCCACAAAGGTTGAATAAGGTCAATCCAGTCATTGGTTCAAAAGATACGGCGGTTCCAACATCACTGTCCGCAACCAGGAGTTTGTGTCGAGCACCATGTCGGGCATCACCTTCTTCCTTCTGCCCAACATGCTTTAGTCCGATAACCATCTTTGAACATGTTTGTATTTCTGCTTTCTAAGACTTTTTTGGGGATGTTCTCTATAAATAGTTAATTTTTGATCTTATTTTCTTTATCTTTCCTCTTCCCCAAAGCTTTGCGTTGGTTTTTCGAAGAACAAGAACAAATCTCTTTACGGGATGAGATTGGATCACTTATATATATTCGCTTATGTTTTCTTCTTCTTTAATTCTTAATATTTTAGTCTTTGCTTTCTTGTTTCTTTTTCTTTGCCATTTTCGAATTTATGTCCTTGATTTTTAGGGATTCTTGATTTTTGATGAGCAAACTGTTTCATTTGACGTTTAAGGATTATTAGGGTATTAGATCTTTGATTAGCTCTTCTTTTGTGACTGCTCTTAATGCCTAGTACCTCTTTGTTGGAGAAGTTGATCTTAGATTTTCACTTGCACACAAAATACATTTTTTTTTATTTGATATCACAGAAGTTTTACGAGTAAACTTACTTAGTTACGAGTAAACTTACTTCATTTCATTAAACTAAAAATTAAACATTGTTTGGAGCCATCACTAGTAGAGAGCCCTCGTTGCCAAAGAGCCTGCTACTTGATTGTCTTCTCTTGGTACATTATTCAAGGAAACAAATTCCAGAGAAAAATAAAAATATGACGAACAACTCCTTCTGTTTGGTGACTGACTCCATTAATATCGTTGATGAGTTTTTTGGAACCCAGCCTTGCTGAGTTCTTGTCGATCTTCAACTCTTTTGCCTGTGCGATTGCTTCCGCCGTTAAAGGTGATCTAACCTAACCAGGAGATGAGATCGCGATCCAGGGGCTGCAAAATGAGAGATCTGATTTTCAATTACCCAACCAAAACCGCAGCACCGGTTACCTCCCTCCACGCCGCTTCGAAATTGCAAGTTGTCATATCCGCCGTCGTCACCTTTGGCCGGTAAGTCGGACTCCGGTAAGTCTGTGCTTTAGTCGATTCATTTTTGAGCGTCTGAGATTGAATTGCTTGAGCCTAATCGCTTACGATTGTTGAAGATTTTCTGATTTCAGAACAAATCCAATGCGAGAGAGGTCCATTCCCGGCACCAACATGAGGTCAGCAGATCTAATCTCTCAATTCTCTCTCAGACCTATGTGTAAGCTATTATAGATGATTAAATGTTCATTTGTTAGCCATGAAGATCTTAAATGCTCGCAGATGTTGTATTTTAGTTTTCTGAGCTGTTAGTTCATATTGATACTACAGTACACTGTCACAATTACAGTGGATTATGTGCATTCTATGTGATATAGTACTACTAGTCTTTCCTTGGATACTCTTTACTTTTATCAGTTTAACAATGATCAGTATGAGAAGTACAATATGGCGTAAATATGTTATACATGTAACAGCTCCAGTTCTTAAGGATGCTTAGAACATTACCTACAGTATCAGTAACTATTTAGCTTGATTTTCTTGACTAGGTTTGGATCGAATAGTTCAAGTTTGGTATTTGGATGTTGTTAAGTTCTTTCAAGGAGAGTATTACAATGTAGGAATGTAACTGATTGGTATTTTAGGTATTCTTTTTGTGAGTTCAATACGAGAATTGGTAAATGACAGGGAATCTAATACATTTTATCATGCTTTAGTTTGCTAATTAAGTATATCTCAAATGTTCTATTTCGGCTTCGTGAACTTAATTAAAGGAGTTTTGAGAACATAGGTAAGTAGAAGTTACCGTCGAATAAACAATCATGAATAAGAGTGCATTTCTGAAGTGTTTTCCTAATATTTATAGTTGAACAAAAGATGAAGGCTTGTGTTAGTATGGCTTTTTACGTTATTTGATGGACTAAGTAGAAATTTAAAACATGTGTATACACATACGCTTGGTATCTGAAAATAAGCTCGACTTCCATAAGTAGAAGCTAAAGCATATGTGTCACAAGTCGACGATGAAATAATTGTGTTATAATATGAATGATAATTGTACTCCACGTCTCCACCACTTGTATCTGTTAGTATCGTGCATGATTTTCTTGACCAAAAGATTTGCTACATGTATTTTACTTTAATTTGGTAGCTGAATACGTTACATGTTAATTTTCTGGATACTAAGGAGAGATTTAAGAGCATACGCAAATGCTGAGGTTTCACTTTTCACTTATAAGTAATTTTTAAAAATATACCAATTCAGATGATATGAAATGATTATATAGTTTGCATTTGTACAAATCTGACTATCAAGCTGTTGCTTTGCAATCAAGTAGAGTTTTAGACGTCATGGTTATATAAATTTGATGCCGTATACAACTCTATACCCTAATTTGACAGCTGAGTATATCACAGATGTCATAAATTAGATTACTGATTTTCTCTAAAGAGAGATATAAGAACGTAGGCCAATATATATATACTTTACTGTGACAAATACGAGGCAGAAATGGAACACATGCTGATTTTCTGTAAGTGTTTGCCTAATTAGTCACTGAAGTTAAGACTTAGAAATGATCTTTGGGATCAAATAACTATCTTACAAAAGATTTGTTAACACTAGTTTCACTAAGCGGAGGCTTCAAAATTAGATCTGTTACCCTGAGTGATTTTCACATTTGAGGATTGATCTTAGACTAAGGAAAGGTATATGATGATAAGTTTCTTTAATTGCATCTTATGAGATTGTTTTAAGTTTTGTTTCTTACATAAATATTTTTACTTTAGTAAGCATTTTGTGTCTTAGTTGCTTGCTGTACCTGTACTAAGAACCATAATAGTTTAGGGTTCACTGTGAAATTGCTTGATCTGTTGTCTCTCTCAAAGGGTTTGTAGCTTTGTTGGTTACTCTGAGTTGTAACAGACAGTAATTCGCTTTTGGTTGGTTTTTCATCAATTGAGTAATAGGAGTTGCATTGTGATAGAGAAATATTTGAGTACTTTAAGATTGTTCCTTTACCAAATCTGACTAGTGTGTTTTCTGGGTCGCCTCAAATATTTTACAGATTGCTGATTGCCTCTGAGGAACTGAAACACAGGGTTTTTGAGGTTTCTCTTGCTGATCTTCAAGGAGATGAGGATCATACTTACAGGAAGATCCGTCTCAGAGCTGAAGATGTTCAGGGCAAGAATGTGTTGATCCAATTCATATAAAACTTTGTAATTTGGTTTTGCAAGTAATAAAACGATGTTTAGTTTACAATCCTTTTAGGGCATGGATTTGACAACCGACAAGCCTAGGTCTTTGAAAACCAAAGACAGCTACACCCTAAGGCTGTTCTGCACCGCCTTCACAAAGAGGCGTGGAACGTACATTACATACAGCCAAACCCGCCAGGTAATAACAGTTTAACATGCATACACTACATAACAATATAAACGAATAACGATTATATTTACGGTTTGTGTATTGATTACATACTTCAGAGTCTTTGATTAGTGTAAAGAGTGATAATTTACATTAAATAACCATCGTATAAACTTTCGACCTATGTTCATCTACACACATTTTATGTCTTCGATATTATAATACATCATGATGAGATATACCTTAAAAATTCTTGTTGGAAACAAGTATGAAACCTGATCTTAAACTTATGTATGATTCAGTCGTTTCCACATAAAAAATTTAGATAGAAAAAAAAATATATCTATCTACAAAACAAGAAAAGAAATAAATCTCTCTGTTTTAGGAAAATTAATTATTTATATCTGTGAGAAGACTGGATTCACATTTTTCTTTGACATTTTTGGTTTTTAATATTAAAACAAGAAAATCTACTGGCACTAAATGGCCAAGAGAAATAAAACGCCAATTTGAATATGGAAATAACTTTATTCTTTGACAATTTTGACTAAATACATTTATGAGTATACGAAAAAACATAAGATAGAAAACATTGTAGATTTATACCATATTAAGTTTTCTTTTCCAACTAATTGACAGATCACACCTGTTAATCATTTTGTGGTGAGATTCTATATAAACTTACCTCATGAGGTTTTTTTTATTTACCACTTTAAGCACAATGAAAACGTCAGAAAAAAATATAGAATCTCACCACAAAATGATATAGAGAAGTAAAAAAATATAATTGAAGAATCCAAATTCATTGCTGCAGCATGTGTTTACTCGAGCATATTCATAAAACTGAAGAATCCAAGATAGAGGAAAAAATCTGAAGGTATTCCTTTTGATTCCGATTCTCTACGCAGAGGTATAAATCTTCTTGACCTTGCACATTGTCTTCTTTTTATTTGTTCTCATTTGCTTTGTACTTTTTATTCATGAGTTTTTTTTTGTCTCTCGTCTTTGAGTGCACCTCTTAATTTTGCATAGATATGATTTAGGCACAACATGAATTCGGATTCTTCAGTTTGATAAGTGTTGTGGAGAAACCATTTTTTGTTGTTTTTAACATGGTCGAAGTGTCTATTGGGTACTTTGGCTTTGATTTTGATTTTGATTTTCCTATACTCTTCTCCAGCTTCTTTGTAATTTTGATAAATGGGTGGGAGTGATTTATCGTCTGCATAGTGTTCGGATATCAGATTTAGGGCCATTTAGTGTTTCTAGGGCATGAGTTGTTTGTACATAAGTACTTAACTTTTTTTTAAAGGTTGATAGATTCCTTATCTAAGACTTCATTATCTCCATTCATATTTATAAGCTTGGTATTTAACGTTCAAATGTATCTTTTAACCACTTAGGTTTTTATTGATTTAGAATTGTTATCACCATTTTGATTTCTGGATCCCACTTTCTGCTTTGTAATGTTTTTCTTTGATTAGTTTCTTCTATGTTGCAGCATTGTGTAAGAGCACTGTTGCAAGTATGGGGTTGTTTCATTATCTAATCATTCTCTCGGTCTTGCAGGAAGTGAACGGACATAAACATAATCTTGTGGCACTATTTTGACGAAAGAAATGACACAAATGGACGAATCGAGATTGAAGAACAGTACAGCTAGAAGAGCAAAAGCCACTGCTGTGGAAAAGTTGAGAGATGGTGATCTTGCTGGAGCCAAAGAATTTGCAGCCAGGGCAAAAGAACTGAATCCGTCGCTTAGTGGTCTTCTCTGTCTTAACGCAGTTCTTGATGTCTTGATGGGTTTTGAGAAGAAAATCAACGGTGAAATCGATTGGTATGCTGTTTTAGCGGTCGAACCAACCGCTGATGTTGATACGATCAAAGACCGGTACAACAAATTGTCTATGGACATTATTACGGACGGTGACAAATCTGTGGGTGGCATTATTGAAGCAGAGAATATATTGGCTGAGACTTGGAGAGTTTTGTGCAATGAAAAGAAGAGGAAGGCATATCACAAGAGACGCAGTATCCCAAATGTGTTCATGGGTACTAATTCATCAGCATCAACAACGGCAGCAACAGCAGCAGCAACAGCGTCAGCATCACCATCACCCTCACCAGCATCATCAGCATCATCAACAGCAGTAGGAGCATCAGCATCATCATCAGATGATAGTAGCTTCCGGACAAAATGCCCTTATTGTAGCTTTCATTACCAGTTTCTAGAGAGCCACAAAGGTCAAAGGTTTTTTTGTGTTAGATGTGAAGATGCATTTGAAGTTATTGAGCGTCCAGATGCATCGACGAGTCATGTTGATCTATGGAGTTACAAGAAGAAGACGATCATGAGAACGAATGAGGTTCCAATCCCTGGCTCGGATGCTATTTCGGTGGTTTCGCCGACGTCTATTGAACAAAGTCCTCAACATATTCAACTGAGAGTTACAGGTAGTATAAATCAGCTAAGGAGAGGCAGTCAGGTTCCAAGCTTTACTTATACTCCGGTGATTTTTTCGGCGCCTAAACCTGTGGAGAAACCTCAGAGACTTTTCTATCCCCAGGTGGTGATGGAAGAAGAAAATGAACAAATGGTGCAAGAAACTCCAATGAGAGTTCCAAGTTATGTTAACCAGCTAAAGAGAGGCAGTCAGGTTCTGAGCTCTATTTATACTCCGGTAATCTTGTCGGCGCCTGAACCTTTACATCCACCGCAGAGATGTAGTAAAGGAAAGGAACCAATGGTTCAACCTCCTTTGAGAATTCTCGATCAGGATCCCAACTTAATTCCGGTGGTTTTGCAGCCTAAACCTGCTCAAAGACTGAAGATGTTTGATGGAGACGAGGAAAGAAATGGGTGAAGTGAATGTGGAACAGTTTGTTATGTCAGGGCCTAAATATGTAGGAAAATCTCACAGAGTTTTGGATCGCCGAAGAAATGGTTGAACCTCCATTGCAAGCTTCTGGTCTTGTAAACAAGTTAAGGTGATTAGCTGAGGAGATGGTTTGGTGAAGATTATTAAACCCTGTTTTCTTCTTTTTCTTCTGTTTTTATTTTATTTCAGGATTTGATTCAAGAAACTTTAGTGAAGCTGAGTTAGTATCAATATGATACTGATTCAATGACTTTATCTTTGCTTTTTAATTTTTGTTTTTGAATGTTGTTGGATGCTCGTTGAATATTATATGGTATCTCGAAGCAGGTGTATCTGATTGGAATTGGAATGAGAATTTGATTTTATATTATATCATTTTAAAATTTGTACAGTATCTCTATATATGTCAAATATTTCTTTTTTTTTTTTCAAATAATTATATGTCAAAGTTATTATGTAATTTACAATGGGATTTGAAACTTCTATACTATATAAACTTCTGTTTTCTTTTTCTTTTAAGATTTGATTCTAGAAACTTTAGTGAAGCTGAGTTAGTATCAGTATGATACTGATTCAATGACTTATTTTTGCTTTTTAATTTTTGTTTTTGAATGTTGTTGGATGCTCGTTGAATATTATGGTATCTCGAAGCAAGTTTATCTGATTAGAATTGGAATGAGAATTTGATTTTATGTTACATCATTTTGAAACTTGTACAGTATCTCTATATATGTTAAATATTTTTTTTTATTTTTCAAATAATTATATGTCAATTTATGTGATTTACAATAGGACTTGAAACTTCTATACTATATACAACCTCTATTTTTTTCTTTTTCTTCTGTTTTCTTTTTCTTTCAAGATTTGATTCAAGAAAATTTAGTGAAGCTGAGTTAGTATGATACTGATTCAGTGACTTTATCTTTGCTTTTTAATTTTTGTTTTTGAATATTGTTGGATGCTCGTTGAATATTATGGTATCTCGAAGCATTTTCTCTGATTGGAATTGGAATGAGAATTTGATTTTATGTTATATCATTTTAAAACTTGTACAATATCTCCGTATATGTCAAATATTTCTTTTATTTTTTCAAATAATTATATGTCAAAGTTATAATGTAATTTACAATGGGACTTGAAACTTCTATACTAGGTGTTGACCTGCGCATTTACACATGCCTAAAAATATTAAATAATACTGTTTTTTGCAAATAAATAGGCAAATACAGAGATTTTTAGGTAGACATTGAAAGAAAACAAATAAGGAGAAAATTATGAAAACATATTAATAGAATAGCATCCAGCTAAAAGTGTACATAGAAATTTTTACCCAAAAAAACCATGTATTCGACTATATAACATACATGTTCACACTAATATACAATACGCAAGGCTAGTAGTATTCCCAATTATAAATGTGGTACTCGTAATCTCCTTTACAAGACTTGATTTAGATGTGGTACTCGTAATCTCCTTCACAAGACTTGATTTAGAATAACTGATTTATGGATCATTCGAACCACACTTTGCAATTGCAACCTCTTCATCATATCATAGCCATAATTAAATCAATAAAATGATTAAAGATATAATAACTAATATAAATGATTTATAGTATATATGGTAATATTACTTATCACGAAAACAATGAACATCAGCTATATCTGCATTAAAAAGAAACTCACAATACTTGTTCCTTGCAATGAAATTTATAATGCCTGTACAAAGAATACAAACAATAGGTCATGAGACAACACATATGACTTGACTAAAATGAACAAACATAGATTAGTGTATTTTTACAATACCATCATATTGTTTGTTGATACACCAACCACTCATCGGGAAAGTCCCAGAACCCACAATGACTAAAGAAAGCGGAGCTGCCCAGAGGCACCATACAGCAAAAGTCAGAAGACGAAACAAAGCGGGGAAGAGACCCCTTCCCCCGGAGCTGGGTCGGACCGCCAGCCCGGGCTGTCACTCTTGAATTGGCCTGCCCTGAAACCTTTGCCCCATAGGTGTCGAAGTAACAAGGGCTGATCCCCGTTGGAGTCTAAGACCCAAACATGTCGACAGTGCCCGTGCTTCGGCATGCACCATCCAGTCAAATAAAATATCTCCCGCCACTGACACCAGCCGAGACCAAAGAATTCCTTAAACCTTGCACAAAACCCAACGTTGGGGGGGGGGGGGGGGGGGGCAAGGAAGCTCCAGACAGTCGAGTTTGACTATTCGTTCTCTCTGCAGGACAACAAAATGCTAGATAAAACGTGCATCCGGCCGATTCTAGCAATCAGCTGAGAGAATTTCTGGTGCCTGCCCTGGGCCAAGGAAGCCAGTTCGTGGGTGCAATGAGTCAAGACATATAACAGTTATTAAAGGCGCACATCGTTTATTCCAGAAAGCCAACGCAATAAAGACGCGAAGAAAACATTAAAGAAAATTAAGTTTTATTCATATGGCGAACCCCGAAGGGATGAAGCTTACAACAAGATTCGAAGGGATGTACCGTCATACATGGCGAGGTGAAAAATGAAAGGAGGTGAAATCTCTGAAGACAAATCTTGACAAGAAGAGGGGTTGGCTAAAAAGAGCACATAGAAGAGGAAACAACATAGGAAGACCGCAACAGAAGAAGAGCCATCACATGGAAGGTTGCTCTGTACCGACACTTAAGGGAAATGAGCCGCCAAAGAATGCAGGATAGAGCCGATGCAACATCCACATTGTGTCATGGCCCAGCGATCAGATCAACATCGAGGGTCAAAACAAGAAGGACAAAGGAGATCGGACGTGTTGCCCCACCAGAGATCCCCCACCAGAGCCATCCTCTCCCTCAGACTGTCTGAGAGATCCGGATCTTCTCCCCGTCGTTTGTCACTACTGTTTGACGCCCTCCTCAGTGATGCACCACCGCGAGTGGCCTTCACCGCCCGGGCCGCCTGACTAGAGAATGAGATCAGATTCTCCCGGACAGTCCAGATCTCCCCCATAAGAGCGTCGACCCAACATCGTTCCACATGCAAGCACTTTTAAAAGGAGGAAAACCTGGAACCCGATCGAAAAGCCGATAGACCCTCCCCTGTAATTGAAAAGCCGGCGCCCGTGACGCACTGAGAGTCCGCCTTAGGATGCAACCGCTGCATCTCCTCAAGGGCATTCTCCTCCCGTTTCTGTACCCACATGAGGGAATCCCTAAGATACGCCATCGACCCGATCTCCTTCGCCTGACCATCGATAGTCAAGTGATATCATCATTATTTACATCCTTTTTCTGCTACTTTCATAATAGTTATGATTGAGTCATTTCATTTAGATCTTAGTTCTCGTCTCATATTCACTCATGTATGTTTATATTGCATTATGATAGAATTTTTTATATGTCTGCATGTTTGGAGGTGTTTTCAGGTGCCTATGTAGTCACGAGGATGGAAAAGAAAGGAAGGAACACAAGGAGAGATAAGCAGAACCGGATGGAAGGAGATAGACGTTTTGCTGCACAGCATCGGGTAGCATCCACGTGATGGTTAGCACGAGAGTTGCACCACTATTATGTTCCACGATATGACCCCGGCGCACGAGCACCATAGTAGACAATCATTAGAGCAACATCAGGCAAGAGTGACGACATGAAGCCGATATGGAGTCCACAATCCCATACAAGATGAGTCAGCACATTGGCAACAATCATCTTCAGCGGCATCAACTTGTGGATTTGCTGCACGCCAAGAGATGGCTATTTCGGGTAATGTGGTTCCAGCGTGTAGGGTACCCTATAAATACTCCTGTCCACTCATTTGTTTACTCGCTCTCGCCCCCAATACAAACTATAACTCTTTAAGTTTTTGTCTTTATTCACTTTAGTTTTCTTGTTTGTTTTGTATTCGCCATTGTTGCGATTCAAAGCTTGAACCTTTAAGTATTTGCAATTAATTCAAATCTTTATTTTCATGCATTTCGTGTTAAAGTTTTAATCTTTTGTAGTTTTCTCCTTACCTCTACTCGCACCCTAAGCCAACAATGAGCCTTCTAATCCTTATGGATTTTGGAGCTCCTTCCATGGCGTGTGAGTAGTGTCCTTTAAGAATCTAGATGGGGTAAAAGGAAAAAGGGTCCTCCGATGATTTACTTAGCTTAGTCTTTACTTAATGCTTGATTCTTCTTTATTTATCACTCCTCATGCGTAATTTAACTTGATCACTTAGACTATAGCCAATAGGCGTCCCACATGAATTCCATGTGTGGGATTAGCCGGAACCATACTCAAAGGTGAGACCTTTCCTAGCCTAAGACATTAACTGTTTAGGAGGTCTTACGATTCTAAAGAAACGGCTCTTCCCTCTTGCTTTCATAGTTGTACAGCTAAGTCAATGCTAGTCTATGGTGACGACCCAAATGCCATGGGCTAGTTAACTTGGAGATCTCTTTACTTAAGAACCACCATCAAAGACCAAGTCTTGATGTGATGTATAGCTAGCTCAGTATTTGAATCCAGAGGATCCCCAGTCCGAAAAGACTCATCTTTATCTTTTCTCTTAGCATAAAGTTTACAACTTTTCAATCGCTTAGTCATTATTTTCTTGTTAAACCCATTTATTATAGTCGTTTAGATCTTGTTAGACTGCTTGAGTGACACAAGTTTAGTCTTTGTCTTCATCTTTGGTGTGGAAATACCCAATCTTTATTTAGCTTAACTTATCTCTACTTTTACAACTTCATTGCATTAACAACCCCGATAGATTGATAACCCCTTAACCGCTATATTATACACTTTATAGCCGGTTTTAGAAACTTTGCTGAACCTTTTTTATAACAGAAATGGCGTTGTTGCCATAAGGGTCTAGTTAATCATTAGAGTCCTTGTAGAGCTAAGGCCAAGTTTCTTTCTTTCACCTTACTAACTTATCTTCTTGCAAAATTTATGTGTTCAGGTACATGAACTTCAGGTCCCAATGAACAAACAACATCGTTCCACTAATTGATGAAATACAACCACTCAAACGTTCAGTATGAAACTGTTATAAATCTAGAGAACGAGTTGACCGTGAGTACCGAGAGGAAGTAGATCCGAATAACATACAAGGTCTCCAAGGAAACGATGGTGCTCAAGGCCAACAAGGACCCCAAGGTCCTCAAGGAGCATAAGGTGTGCAAGGTCCTCAAGGCCACAACGGTGCTCCGGCTAAACAACAAGCTGTTCGCCAAATTGGTGCTGG